TTCCTCTGAGTTCTGACGGTGCAGCTGTAGGTCACATCAGGATCATCCTCTAAAACCAGAGAGCTGTGGATGCTGTAAAGCTGATCCTCAGTCTGATGGACTGTGGTTGTAACATTTAGAGTGGTGTTGGACGGAGGGATGGTGGACCAGGAGAGTTCAGGTTGAGGGTAGATTCCCTCTGAGCTGCAGATGATCTGGTTTGCTTCCTCATAGATGATGACTTTAGAGACAGGAGCTTCAGACAAACAAAATGGATTCTAAGAAACTGTGTAGCGCCACAGCACAGCAGCTGAAAATCTGTGTTAAAATTGTCCAGTAAGGAAGTCCTACCTTCTGTTTTCAGGTTAACAAATGATTCCTCCTTTCCTCTGTCAGTGCTGGTGTAACACTTGTATCTTCCTACATCCTCAATCATCACTCCTGTCAGCAGCAGGGAAGCGTTTCCCTTGGAAAACTGATCTTTAAACAGTGCTGTCCGGTTCTTAAAGTTTTGAACCTGGTATTCAAACTGATCTTTATCCTCATAGTAGGAATGAACCACAGGGTCTCCATCTGACTCTTTGATCCAGTGGATGAGTAGTTGAGCTCCATCCTGGAACTGGCAGGGTAGCAAGCAGCTCTCTCTGAAAACACAGGTCACCTCAGCATCTGCAACAGGAAAAGGGAACATTTAATGTCAAATTAGGACAAATAGATTTTTAAATATGATTCTGAAGTTATTCTCTAAGACAGGAACTGAATACCAAATCACTTTCTAAATCTCTAAATGACGATAATGATTAACAACACAATATAGCCCTGAAATCAGCCCAGATTTTCAGACAGTGAATAAAGAGCGACTTAAGATGATCAACCACATTCATGCAGCTGGACACAAACAGAAAACTTCAATCTGGAGGTTTATAGGAATATACGTTTACTTTAAACATATACAATTAACATGGAATACTTTAAATTCTACTGCTATCATTAAAAACAGGGCAGAACAATCTCTCCTTATATGGCCATCTCTCACTCACAGATCTGTGATTGGTTGTAAAACCACACCTTCACATCAGCTGCTCTCTGAATTATTACTTCATCTGACACATTAGTTACCATGGTGATAGATCCAGGAAACCAGGTTACTATTGATAGTTAACCTTAAAACAACCCTATTAAAAAACAAATCCAGTTTAATGACATATTTCTAAGTCCAATGCTGAGATACAATTATTGTGTTTATGTAGGAAAGGTTTTTTTTTTTTCTTATTGTATATTGTGAAAATCATATATTTTGTTTTTTAAATACAACTAAGAGAAAAAGTAGCTTAAATCTTTAGTACTGTATATTAGGACATTTTGGCTCAACAATTTTGCAATTTTACATGAATGTTTGACGAATTGAAAGCAATCATTGCAGGCAGGATTACTTTTTAAAAATATGTTTAATTTAACTCCTCATGAATTTACAGTAAAGGAGATGGAATCAACATTTATTTATTCACTTTTTTTTTAGGCCTAAATTTGTTGTATTTTGTTTTTGGCCGACAATAAAATATATTATATTTATATATTCCAAAATGGCACAGCTGGGTGTGGCAGAGAGAACTGGTTCTGCTGATCTCACAGTTTAGCAGAGGAAAAGGTTTCAGTTTGTGTTTGTAAAGATTCTACTCAAAAGCTCAGAAATAATTGTTTTTGCTGCTAAAGAACTAAATAAATCTATTTATCAGGTGCACCTGCTGGCTGTTCATCTTATTCTCTACACCTCCTCAGCTGCCCTTTAGCTTGGCTTGGCTGAAATGATTACCGATAAAACAGAATTCTTTTGGAGCAGCTCACTGAAAAGAACAGGCACCCATCGGTGTCATCGGTTTTTATATGTACATATATGGCCTTCCCCAGGCAATTTTCAACTGGCTCCAAATGTAGGAAAAGCCACATTATGTTTGGCAGTATCACTATTAATTATTAAACAAATAGGAAGGAAAAATAGAAAATCGTTATTAAAAAAGCATAAATATGTAAATATGCTGTGGAGCGAAACATTATCCTAAATATGAGCGGCTGAAATATAGGATGTCTATTTGAAATAGATGTGTCTTTATTTGCTTATTCTATATCCTTGAAAAATATGTTTTATTCCTCAAAACAAATCTTTTCCATTTGAATACCTTCNATCTCCATTATTCATTTTAACTCAAAAGCAACCACGTACCTCTCCCAAGATATCGGAGCAGAGGGCGCAACAGAAGCAGAAGGGAAGATAATTTATACTAGATTAAGAACTGGACATACCTACTTGAAGGAGTTTTTGTTTGTACTAGGGAAGAGAAATAATGATTTATGTGAGGGTTATTAAAGAAAAGAAAATGTGGATAATTTTTTATGGATTGCATTAAAAATGGAACTTAAAGAGAGAGAATGAGGAAAGGAAGGAAGGAAGGAAAATTATGGGAAAAAGGGAGAGAATGCAATATTAAAGGAATTTTAGGTACAGATGGAGACAGGGAGGAAAATTTGGTTATTAATAAAGCATTGTTTTTATTTTTACATAACACAAAAATAAAAAATAGAATATAGTAGGTAGACCTACTGTATAGAGCTACACACTTATGTACAGTAGGTGGCAGTATGCACCTATAAGCTGTTTGCAATCCGCCAATCTAACAAAGAAACAATTGTCTCAAATGTGTTAGCTAGTGTATGTGAGTGGTTCATTGATAAAAAATCAACAATAGGTAGTGATCACTATCCTATAACAATAGGAGGGGGATTATATTTAAATAACAGGAATATAAAAGTCAATAAAAAAAACTTAATTTCAATAAGGCAGACTGGATTAAATTTAGATACTTGAGTCAAATAAACTTTGGACAAGTAGATATGAGGATAGATATAAATTTGAAAATTTGTAAGATAATCATGGAAGCAGCAGATAATTCTATAAAGAAAGTAGGGTGTAAAAATGATAAGAAAATGTTACCATGGTGGACAAATGAATGTAAGGAAGCAATAAAGTTAAGATATAAAGCATTTAATATGGTGCTAAAAGATAATCCAATTTTTTTAGGAATTTAATGGAATATAATAGAAAGCAAGCAATGGTAAGGCGACCTGTTAAGAATGCAAAAAGAGAATATTGGAGAATTTTTTGTAGCACAATAAGGAAAGAAACAAAAATAGAAAAAGTTTGGAAGATAATTAAAAGAATGAATGGCAAAAAGGGGAGTTTGAATATCATATATTAAAAATAGACAATAAAATAATAATAAAAGATGTAGATAGTGTTGAAATACTGGCAAGGACATTTAGTAAAATTCACAGCTCAAATAATATTAGCCAAGAGGGAAGAAAAGGAAGAGGAAATAAAAACTTAAATATAAAGATTTATTAGAGAGCGTTGAAGAAACAAATAATTTATTGAATGCTGAGTTTACAAAAGCTGAATTGAAATATTTACGTAGGAAGACAAAAAATACAGCACCAGGTAAAGATTAAATTTGGTATAGAATGATAAAATAACTCAGTGAAAAATCAAAAGATATAATATTGCAAATATAAAATAAAAATTTGGGTGGAGAAAAAATTACTGTTAAACTGGAAGGAATCAATTATAGTACCAACAGCTAAACCCAGAAAATTACAGACCAATAGCTTTAACATCAAATCTATGCAAAATAATAGGAAAATGGTAGCCTGACGTAGTCCGACTCAATTCTAGTCAGAATATGAGTCTGATACTGCTCCATAGAGCTGTGATTATGGGGCGTGTTTTGAACG